GTTCTGGTAACAGAAGCAACACAACTCTTTGAGTGGAGATAATTTAACTACTCGTAACACACGTAAATAGAATGTGTCTATGACAGAGGTCTCAAAATAGGGTGGTTTATGGGCCAAAAGTTGCCTGCGGGCCAGGGGTTTGATACTCCTGGTTTAAAAGACCAAAAAAAAAAAAAAACCCTTGTTGACAGACTTGTGGTCCGGTTAACATCCTATTGAAGCCAGTTAAGCTAAAACTAAATTCAGTCAACTAAATATTCAATTTTTTTTCAAGTTCCAATTCAGGTCCTACAGGATCAAGATCAGGTACTTGCACATAACATGTATTTATTAGAAATGAAGGCATGTTAAGAATATATATTTTTACAGAAATTATTTCAAAAATGTAATCATTTAATAAGCAAATTTAAATCTCACTAACTCAAGTTTCAAAGTTGGCCAACCCTAAGAAAGACAGTTGGGGGTCAGGGGATGGGGATCAAATAAAAAGTGAATATTATAATATATTTGCTTGATAATTTGTATTTTATATCCTCATCCTGTTCCATCTTCCACAGAATATCACTGCACGTCAGTAAGAAGCCACGTTCATTAGTCCACTTTCCAAAACAGGGACATAACCTGAAACTAGGTCGTGTCCCTATTTTTGGTGCTTGCTCAACACACCACAAAACGAACCGACAACACTCAGACTACAAGTTCACAAAAGGCCCACGATGAGTACACTTATACTAAAAAATCCTTTATCTACTCATATTTTAGGAGCCACAGTGGGAGATCAGAACAAAGTGTACAGTAAAAAACAGCGCAGCCTACAGGCAATGTAGACAGTAGTAGTATTATTTCCCATTCTGCTTGTATTTACAATTAGAGTACTCAATACTTACATATATATATATTCTTATTTAAATGGTCACGACTGAGACACCCATCAAGATGAAACTTGTTCTTATATTAATATCTTTGTCTCACTTACAAACACACAAACCAATAGTTGCCAACTGATAATCCTCATCATCCAATAAGCTTGAGCGTCCGTGACTACAACAACTAGTGACATCAACGCCAGTTAATCCACGAGTGTAAAAACTTTAAGTCACAGTAAAGACTCTGCATCGTTTCTACAACACTGCTCTAAAAAACTTTTTACAAGAACTTAAATAACCAACATATTGAACAAACAAATAAGTCAAATATGGGGTATTACATCAAATTAAACTGATAAACAAATATATATAAACACCTATTTCAATGCATTTTGTTGAAAACACTCACTCATCAGCACACTGTCTACTTTTCACTAATTTGAAGCTTCGCAGAACTGCGACGTAGAAATCATCAGGTTTACAGTAAAACTAAAACATTCTTCACCACATTCACTTACCACTGAAGACTCCATGGCTGCAGAAATAACGATAAATGAATAAAAAACGGCCAAATGACTAGGGTCAGAAGGTCTCCTGTTTTGTTTTTGCGATTTAATTAAGAGGTTTGTTTTTGTAGCTCCGACCTCGGCGGCCCAAGTGAACCTGCAGGACTGAATAATAAGTCTGACCAAACCAGCATGTCTCAGAGGCTGTGGGATAATCCTTCACTGTGCCACTTGAATAGCTTTAGAAGGGGGAGGGAGGCAGGCCAGAGACGTGGACGGGGGGAGTGAGACGGGGAGACAAAAAAAAAACTGAAATGGCTGCTCTGACAGGAGAGCTGAAATGAAGATGATGAGCTTTTTAATATAACGTTACTAAAAAAACAAATTAGACTTCATAGAGTGTACAGAGTCAGGGTGATGTTGACAAGCCTTCCAGAGTTCTACAACCGCAACAACTGCATAAGCTTGTTAGATAAAGAAGATTTGGACTAACTTTACTCCAGCTCACTGTTAAGCCCACTGTTGACGACACTCTCTGCTCCATGTGCAGCCATCAATGGACTCGTACTAATGTAATGTGGCTTAATAAACGCAGACGAACCTCATCCTCGACCAATGGTGCCTCCTGTTCATATTCATTCAACAGGAGAAAAAAAATTTCTACTTTTATATAAATGAATACAGATCTTTGATGTCTAGATGAAAAGTTCAGTCACATGCTTTGGTCAAAGGACTGAGCACAACTGGATTCTTCTACACAAGGGTTCTCAACGGCCGGCTTTTACGTCTTTACATTTAAATGGTAATGATTCTGCTGCTTGCTCCGCCCAACTCACCCATGTAGGAGGAGGAACGAGATCTGAGTAAGGCTTTACGTAACCATGGCAATGGTTTAGCAGCAAAAAAAAGGGGTATGCCATTCTGGCAGGTATGGTAAACCGACTGGTCGCCTGACAATAAACTGCAGTCCAACCATATACAGTATGATTCAGATGCAAAAGATGAAGAGGCTTCAGGACAGAACCAAGAATGAACCTGGAGGTTTGTCACTGGCTAGTAAATAAGTTTGTTACTCTGACGTTACTTTGATGTTTATCTGTGGAATAAAGCAGTACAGCACATGACAAATCCTTGCCCAGGTACAACTGATAGCAAGGGTGGAGCTTCCCAGTTATATTTTGACAGAGTCAATTTTGCATACAAATATCTTCACACATCAACTAAACAAATGGGGTGGCTTTGATTGCAATAAAGTGCGAAATGAAAAAGTCTGGACAGAACATGGAAGATGAGAAAGAACACTTGAAGAAAACGGAACAAATTTGCCACAAAGTGCGACGCTGGTGAGACACTTCCTGAGTGTCACGGAGAGAGCCACAGGGTCAGGGCAGCAGCTGAACACATCAGGACAGAGATGTCATTCATCTCTGGGTGCAACACAGTGTAAGCAGGCTGGTTGGACGTTGCCAGGAGACAGACGTGCCTTGTGCAGACTTCACACACTTCTGTAACAGCCGAGGCCATCATTAGGATGGCCATGTGACCAAAGCATTGGATAAGAGCAGGGAGATCGGTTCAGTGACGCAGTGTCAGCGTTGAATCAACACTTGAACCCTAACCATCACACAAGGGAGGACCTGATGTGTTCTGAATGTGAAATCAAATTCTGACGTGACGAAAAGCCACTTTTCACACGAAGTAGTAACAAAGCGGACAGCTGATGTTTCAACACCAAGTCATATAAAGCTGAAATATTTCAGAACTGGCAACCCAGGTGGGGTTCAGACCCACATCAGGCTCAGTGGTGCATGTGTGGATGACTCAACTGTCTGATCACCTACCTCTACATACTGAAGAGATGTGGGCTGGGTCACGGCACCACCAGGGGGCGGGGCGTGTTATCTTAAATCAATATTTAGTCGCTGCATGAGTCAGCCAGGTGTGTTATTACTCTGCTCACGGAGACAAAGTGAGTCATTATCTCTGCACTGTAATTGATACTGACAAAAGAAAAACAATGAGCTGGAACATTTGTGATATTTGCAAATAAGTATTAGAGTCACAAAAGTGATATGAAAGAAAAAATCATTCAGAAATGATCTTCTCAGACATCTTTAATGGGCAACAACATACCGTATATGGTGTTGTGCTATTTTGCAGCGATGCTGCCCTGTGTTTCTATTTTCTCTTTTAAACCCAATGTCATAGGAGAGTCATTAAAGAGAGCGCCTCGTTAGACATGTTTCCTGGTCAAAAGTCGGGATGGATCGATCAAATAATCAAGATCGGTATTTGTCCGATATTGATCATTATTTCAGGATCGAACGTAAACAAAAAACCCATCTATTCCGATAACTAAGCTATCGTCTTAGCAACGGGAGCCCGTGTAATGAAAGAGAAAAGAAGGTATCGTCATAGTTGCAGTATTGGTATCAGACATGAAAAAGCTGAATCGATCCACCCCTGATTAAAAGTCATGACTAGTTAACAGCAGTAACCCAACTGTGCTCAGCTGCTATTTTGATCCAGGTCATAAAAGGCGAAGTGGTGCCAACGGTGTGGACTGTAATGAGGTGGCACAACACGCGGCTTTCACTTGAAATAGTTGCTGAAGGCCACTTAACAGGAATGTGTGAGGCGAGAATGTAGGTGTGAAGACTTGAGTTTTGTGGGTCAGGTATTAAAAAAAAAGAACAGTTTTAAGGGCTTTTTCATTTGTCTGTGAAGTGGAGCTGCAGGCACTCATCACTTAATACTTCCAAACAACAAAAAGAGCGCCACAGTCTGTGCAGCTGCCGCAAAAAAGACTCTGCTGTAGAGGTTTAAAAAAGAAAAAAGAAATTAAATTTTTCTATGAACACTCATTGTTCGTCGTTCGACTTTACATGAATTGTAGGGACAAAGAAGCAGCTTAGAAATGACTGAGGGCTAATGCACAATTAAAAAATAAATTAAATTTTTCTATGAACACTCGTCGTTCATCGTTCGACTTTACGTGAATTGTAGGGACGAAGAAGCAGCCTAGAAATGACTGAGGGCTAATGCACAATAAACCTAGCTGTGCCCTCTGCTCTACTAAGCCCAGAAATTCACTGGACGACTCGGTCGTGCAGAGGACATCACAAAACGTCTCAAACCTTTAAAGACAGTCAACACCCTGTTACATCATCGACATAGGAAGTGTAATCTGACCACAAAAACAACAAAAAAAAACATGCTAAATTATGAAGAATCCATATTTGTTATGATCAGGTGAACATTAGCATGTTGACATTATCCTTTAGCGTGGCTTTAGCTTTAGGCTGATGAAAAGATCGATGACATGGATGTTTTTTTTTAATATATAAAAAAAAGTATTTTAATATGTAACACTGAAAGAAAAAGAAAATAAACCTTTGAGTGAGATGTCGGTGTAACTACCAACCAGAGGCCTCGTACAGTCACACCAGACTGAAAGGCATAAATATAAACTTCACCATCCAACAATGGGCAGCGCTCACACATGCACACATTTTTTTCCCACAGAGTTGTGAATTAATATGGTGTCCCTATCACTGCTGCAATGATTATGTAACTATCAAGCTTCCTGCCACAAGCCGGGTGAAAAAAACAGAAAGGGGAGGGCAGAGAGGGGGAGGGAGAGAGAGAGGGGAGGGAGGGAGGGTGTGTGGGGAGACAGACATAAAGACTGACTGACAGGCGGATAAAGATGAAGCAGAGGAGGAGGTGGAGACTACTACACTGTGATTGGGTGGTGATGAGGGGCTGGAGGGGGGGGCTGTACTGTAAGAATGCAGCAGTGGTCAAGAAACGCAGAAGAAAGAAGCTTTGGGGTCCACTCCAGCTTTTCATGATGTCCAAAGCAGGAGGAGGAGGAGGAGTAGAGCGATGATGAAGGGAGTAAATGAGCAAGGCAACGGTTGCTGTGCAAAACACAGCAGCCTCCCCTGCTCTATACCATGGAGCTGTGTGACGCTGCCATGAATACTGATGGGCTGTGTGAGGGAGGCAGAGGAAGAAAATTGCAGAGAGAGGGAAGAGGAGCTACAGGGAGGAGGAAGGAGGGAGGAGGAAGGTGGGAGGAAAGGGGGGGGGCTGCTTTACAGATGGGTTCAGCTGAAGGATGGGTCTTTAAAGCTTATTTAAATATAATCACATTTAAAATACTTAATATTGTTTCAATTCAGATGGAGAGCTGGGGGGGCAGTAGTCATGAGGTATTTTTTTTGTATACATCAAAACTAAATGGCCTTAGTGGACTTCTTGTATGCAAAGGTCATACAAAAAAGACCCTCAGTGATCAAAAGATATTTTCTATTTGTTTATTAGAAACCTAAAGAAACCAACTATGACTTGGAGAGGGATTCTGGACTGCTGATATAAAAACAAAAAAGAAAAAAGATTTTGTTCTATGAAAATGTAAATAAGTAAAACTAAGTCAATCATGTTATGCTGCTACATAGATAAGAAAAGACGTTGGTGCTACGTATGGTGTCGTTAGCATGAAAATCATTAGAGACAAATCATCACAATGAGCACAACCTAATCACCTTACATCCCTATTTATAACCACTCTAATACCCAGAGGCTGTGGCTGAGAGGCTGCATCTACTGTGACGGAGCTGGAGACCACGACCCGAGACATATATAACAAAATATACAAACTCTGATCAGGTCTACAGCTATTTATCTATATGTACCTACACACAGAAATCTAACTTGAGAAATCTAATGTGACTCATTCATTTTGTAGGCTGAGCTCTAGAGAACTTCTGAGTAAAGGAGGACAATTTCTGTTTCTGTATTATTATAGTAGTCAAAGTTAATGACAGCAATAAATCCTTTTCAGGTGAAATGATTGCATCTGTCAGAAGAAAGCACTCAAAGTATTCACAGGTTTTGTTGAAAAGAAAACGTTTTTTTTTTTTTCACACTTCTGTACAATCAGCTGCTGAAAGTCACAAAATCCCTGGAGAACCCTCAGTGAAGTGGGACAGAGGTTTGTGATCAGGCTCACTCAGACCTCATTGGTTGCTCCCTGCCCTAGATACTTAACACTTTCTTCTACAGCCAGTTCTGCCATAATGCAGAAAAAAGAAGATTCAACTGTGAAATCATTGCCTTTCTCTATAGTTTCCCACATTAACCATAAAAGTAAAGTCAATTCTACGATATTTTCCTCTGAAAACAAAGCATATGAGAATATGAGTGTGAATTATGTAATGAACATCCATCCATACTGATCTCAAGCAAGTGATGAACAGCTACAGTCGGACTGACTGGAGGAGAACCTTCGTTAATAATTAACAGCACCTAATTAATTTAGTGTCTTTGGTATTCCACAATATGCTCAAAGAGGAACTGGGAGCAGTGATAAAGACTGGACGGATGTGTGAAAAACATTGTCTGGGGAAAAGAAAACTCACCTTCTCCACCAATGGGAGGTCAGGTTTCCATAAACCCTAGTAGGAGCTGTTGGTGCCCTGCAGGAGATCACCTGTGAAGGAACAGGACAGGTATTTGTCAGGGCCGTCGGCTTGAAAATACAACCAAAGTCCAGCATTTTTATCTTCATTTAGTTTTTGCATCGAGTGCTTCTCACAGCGGACGTGTCCTGCATCACCTTCATGTACTTCCCTGCCACTTCTGAAATCCCTATTCATCGTCACCACCATGTGTTCAACACTAACATAGATCTTCAACAGCACACTGAAAAAAAAAGGAACTTCCTCCACAGGATATTTAAAATGACTTCCTCGTTCATCATCTGTCATCTCTCTCCTTCAATCTCTACATCAGCTTCTTAAAGTACTCCTTCACCTTCGACCACTCCACTCTTCACATATCTTCGTCTTTACTGTCCCCTGTACTTCATCAATCAACCAACTCATCTTCTTCACCCTGACCTGAGGTGGCACCAAAGACCTTTCTGCACCAAAGACCTTTCTTGTCCAACTCTTCTGGTCTCTGTGCAGTTTCTTTCGACACCTTCGCTGTTCTTCTTGTCCAACTCTTCTGGTCTCTGTGACACAAAATCTGTCTAAATCTGTCTAAAACCCTTATTTTTTGTCCAAAAAATACTACAGATTACTCTTCCTCACCCATCCTCTCCCTCCCTTCATATATACACCATTGTAGAAGAGCTTAAAGCAACCTGCTCTGCTCCTGCTTCGCCTCTCTGCCATCGGTTAAAATATGACACAGAAACTCAAAGATGTGCAAAACAATACAAACATTTACAAACGGAGTTAAAATCGCACTAAAGATCATTCCAGAAATGTCTTAGAAAAATACCCCAAAACTGTCAGACCAAACCATAAATTATAACATAAAACTGCTACAGAAATGTCATTGTAATAAATTGACTATTTTTTTTTTGAAAATAAAGAAAAAACTGAGAATTCTGTTTTTGTTTTTGAATATTCACTGAAGACAACCAGAAACAGACATGAGAGACCAGGTTTAACATGGACCAGTCACCGTAGCTCAAACACTGACCGCTGTCTTTGAGAACAAATCCATGAAGAACACACCATCTAGTGTCCAGAGCAGGGTTCTCAAAGTCAAATGGTGGGCCACTGCTGCCACGGTCATTTATATGTTAGGTCAGTGTTCAATGTACGGAAGGAAAAAAAGGTAGAATTTTCCTTAATATTAACACTACATTAAAATGATTAATAAATATATAAAACTATTTTTAAAAGTATTATTACAAATCTTAAGATTATTTAAATATAGTAGCAGGGTTTTAGCCTGGAAATGTTTTAAAAACGCAGGCTGTTGGGTTTTAGCCTGGAAATGTTTTAAAAACCTTAGGTTGATCCACAGATGAAAAAAGGTGGCAGAAATATCACTAAATAAAAAGTGTTGCCTTATAAATATTGACTACTGATACTTTCTCTATCCAACCAGTTCACACAGTCATTTAAATTTAAATTGATTTCATGCATTTCACATTAAGAGTTCATTCTTTAGCCGGTGTGAAACAGTTAAGAGATTCTAAGAACCAAAACAAAATCTGATTTTCTGTAGTGTGAGGAGAACAAACCAGGATCACAAAACATTCCAGTCATAAATCTTCAGCTGAGCATCTCCCCTGTGTGTGTGTGTGTGTGTGTGTGTGTGTTACTCAGCATAGAGAGATATTCGACTCCCTGACTGCCCTTCAGACTGTCTGTTCTTTCACTGCGTCTTTTTTTCACGCCATGTTGGACACCACTGTGTCTTCTTTTAACAGGGGAACAGCAGCCTTTAACCCTTTCATCATCGAGCGCAGCGTCTCGCTGCCTGTTTTCACAGGCTGTCGTCTCCACCTCACACACACAGCATCTCAGGGTCAACCTCCGACTGCTAACAGCAACACGGAGGTAAACAAAACCTTATATTCAGGTAGGAAACAGTGACTGGGTGCATTTTGCAGCAGCTCCAGTGCTAGTTCTGATATAATCTGTATTTATTTTAATGGGATCTAAAAAAGAAAAAAGAAAAATCAAATGAGGAAACGGACGATACCGTTATCTGTAGTTCCGTCGCTCCAAGCTAAGCTATGATGATAATAAATGCAATAACACTGTAATTCATATCATTAATTAATCACTTGTACATAAACTGCACCCAATTACATCAAATCAAACAGACACGCTTCAGTCTCACCCACAAATCACAGGGTCATGATCGAGGTACAGCTGAAAGGGACATAAATTTAACAGGAAATACATTTATCCACTGCTGTTATCGTTTTATACCATCAGAAATAGAATCAACCTGAGGTTTGAAAAAAAGTGGTTTTCCTAAATAAACCTCAGGAAGTGGCTGACTTACTGTTATAGAAAAAGAAGAGGAGGAGGAGGAGGAGAAGGAGGAGGAAGAGGTCGAGTGTGAAAACTGAAATAGGCGACAGATTCACTGCAAGCTCTAGAGCCCTAGACGCTAGTCCCTCTGAATTTATAGTCTTAAAGACCAGGGCACTACAGTCTGTCCCCCAGAGGACAGTAACTGAATTGATAGTGGGGCACTTCAAGAATTAAATCAGCCATTTTAACGTCAGTCTCAACATTAACTTCACCTCTGAGCCTGAAACTAACAAACGTTATAACAAGTTTTTGTTGGAAAATATGCCATTTAAACCTTAAACCTGAGTGAAATTGGAATTAACCAATGACAGACAGAAACGTTCCCCTTTAAGTCTGTGGTCCTCAGCTTGGAGTTCAATAACAGACACACACAAAAAAACAAAGCAGTGAGACATAAAAGAAATGCTTTAAGAGGCAGTAAAGAAACACTGAGGCACAGGCAAGCAGCCATCACCTCAACACCTCACTCCACTGACCGTATCACCATGTCTTTGTGTCCAGTTCTCTACAGTAGGGGGCCCTTTAGGTGCTGACTGACAACAAGCACCGAACAGTGAATTCAGCACCATGGACAGCTCAACAGAGACGTGGAAAGGGCCAAAATGGACCTAATCAAATTCAATCGCACTTTATATCTTTGTTACAAGGTCAAAGGCTGGTACCAGTCACTGGTACCAGTCACTAGTCCATCAGGGAACTTGTGTTTTTACCACAGACCAAACCCACGTGACACGACTGAGGAGAGAAACTAGTGGGATGGAGTTTAGAGCTCCAACATTCCTGAGTCGTCTGAACACTTTGACTTGACTCAGCATTTTTAAAAAGCCTGAAGGAGCAAAGTGATATTTTTACACATTTTTTTCCAGCCTGCAGTAGACTCTACGTGTATAAACTGGCTTAATATTAAAAGACCTTTCTTTGCCTTGTTAACTATTCCAACTTAACAGTTCATCCTTAACTTAACCATAGACTTTCATACAACGCTAACACCAAAATGAAGTTCTGAAAAACGAAGTCGCTAAATGTAGCTATAACGTCCAGACAATGTTGGTTTAAACAAAAATTTGACCCCTGGTCCATCAAACACATACACATCTTCCTCTTTCTACTGTAAGACATATTGCCTTGCCTAGTTGCTACAGAAGGTTCAATCAAGAAGCAAAGAAACAAATTGAAATTATTTTTATTTATGATAAAATGTCAACGCTAGACACTTCTGCAGGTGGAATATCCAGCAGAGATGTTTTTCTTTTTCAAACCATCACCAAGCTTCATACAAAAGGAAACATCCTGCCCTTCATACACCACCTCCACCTCCTCCTCATCATCATCACTAACATCACTCTACAGCCAAACACAGAACTGTGTTCTGTACAGTCTCTTCTTTGGACTGAATTGTTTTCAGCTGGTGGAGCAGATTTAATGAATGATTAAAAAAAAAAGCACATGCACCTAATCCCATGTAGAATATCAGGAGGCTCCTCCCCCTCTTCTGTTGGTGAGTGGAGAAGAGTGGAGGGGGAGGGAAAGGGGGTGGAGGACACTGGAGTGGGTTCATGGCTGTGCTGTAACAACCAATTACATAACGTCAGAACTGAGTGCTCTCATTAACATTCGTGTCCATTTCAGAACAGGCAAAAAAAAAATAAAAAAAATTCTTAAACAGAAAACACTCCGAGGATCTGGGACTCTGGACCAGAATGATCATCTCAGAGACAGAACCGCACGAACTTCATATTAGTCATGTTGTTTACCCTCTTTGACGCAGAGCACTGACTACGAAATTACAATCGCCTCTCAGCCTTTGCCAGCATCTCCAACATGGCAACAACAGAGTGTGATGCTCCCCACCACACACACACACACACTTTCTCTAATGCAACGAGGATGTTGAGGTCAAATTTCCCTTCACTGGAAAAACAACACCGTGCACGTCTCTGTCATTTCAACAATAAGTAGGAATATTTAAGGAGAAAGTGTGCAGAATTGAACCAACAACCCATATATGTAGATTGTTTTCCTCAGCAAGAGAAGGTTGCGAAATAAAGCAGAGATGAGATGATGCAAAAAAACGCTCCTCTTCACCCTTGGCGTATGGAAACAACGGTAACGTCGTGATAAAATGACGCATGCACAATTCGTTAAAATTACCGTATAGTGCTTTCGCTGAGCCGCGTTTACGGGCACATCAGCAGACAATCGAATGAGGCAATAGGCAAAAATTAAAAAACACAAAAATTAGCAAATAAATCCTCGTCCACCGCGTCGTCCTTTGCTGAGAGGAAGCACAGCTTCTCTTCACCCTCAGCATCAACGCAGGACTTACCAGAGCTGCTGTTGCTGTTGTTGCTGCTGCTGATGCTGAGGAGGATGAGGATGATGAAGATGGTGATGCTTTAACTACTGCCCGTGAGTGTGAGCGTGCGCTGCAAATAATTTAGTGTTTTCCTTTGCAGTGACAGAAGGTGACCCTGCGTTCTCTGCATCCGCCAGATCACGATGCGCACGGCACAGGCGCGCGTCGGAGGGGTTGGCCCAGCAATTCCCCTTCACTGAGCCACAGAGGAATGATGACATACTGCAGCGAGGACTTCAGCTCGGAAAGCGTTCACATAACACGAACCCATCGAGATTAAAGCAGCCTTAATCTGAGAGGAAGTGTTTGACCAACTTGAACATGTCCGGAATAAATTATACCTGGACATAGTTACAAAAATATCGAATAAAATTCATAAGAAACAGATTTAATATCCACGAGTGTTATGAATAAACCTGAGTATTTTTAGGATTTCATAAATATTGTATGTACTTGTTGTAAGGGAGGGAGTCCCGAATGTGACTCCCACTTTCTAACCAATGAGAAGAGCGGCAGGGAAAGGGGGCGTCGTCGATGTTTGCTGTCAATCAAAGTCACATTGCACTACACAGCAGTGCCGAGGCAGACTGTACTACATTATATATACTCTGTACACGGCATTATGTGCCGTAAAAAAAAGAGAAAATACCACAAATGACAAAGAGAAAAGTACTACACACAGGTTTGGATATTAACACTATACTGGATACCGGAGTAATAAAAGTAGTAAAGGTACGATAATGCACATTTTAGAAGAACAAATACTGCACCATTTGACTATTGCAGTCTAGGACTATAAACCAGAACCAATGCACCATTAAAACATGTGTGATATTTCAACAGAGATTATATACAAAAATACAAACACAAAAATGAGTATTAAAATGAAATCATCCTAAAGAGGGGAGTAAAACTGCATCCTGACTGTGGTTTATATGATTCATTTAAAACTTAAAATCCTTTAATAATAATAATCAAGACAAAACAATATATTCACACACGCAAGAATAACCATGTTTCAGCTGTACTAAAACCAGCCAGGGCAAAGGGCTTTACTGACACCTTGTGGTAACTGACTAACAACACAGACATGTGTTGAGCTGTGTGATCTGATCAAGTTTTTTAACACTCAGAAATTTAACAATTTTGAGAGCCACACAAACACGACTTGACAACTTGACCAAAACATTAATGAAAACTTTTTGCTCACTGCTTTACTCAGTAAACAATCTAAAAAAAATACGCCAACATCTTTTGTAGCTCCACACAAACACGACAACTTGACCAAAACATTAATGGAAACTTTTTGCTCACTGTTTTACTCAGTAAACAATCTAAAAAAATACGCCAACATCTTTTGTAGCTTAGCATTTTGCGTTTTTCGACTCACCCCTGCCATCCTGGGATGACAACAACAGCAGTGCCACCGACGTGAGAAGCGTCTGGTCTTTGTTGTTAATATTCACGTTAGGCGACGAAGATGGTAAAGACGTTCTTTTCACTGTACATTCTGTATGTCCAATTAACTGGGAACTCTGGGAGATAGATGTAACTTCGCTCAACACCGCGCCAACAATTTGGTTTGTCTGCCATCTTGCTGACTCCGTCTGCACATGCGCAGCAGTATTGGCGGCTATCAAACATTGGGGCGTCCTAAAATTGTCGTATTTTGAGGGAAATTGTCGCACCCACACGAATTTAATTCTGAAATTAAACCCGAGACAAGGGTAATAATAACCGCTGAGCACTTTTTCCTACAAAACGCGACGCGCTCGTTAACATTCAAAAACAACACGTTACCTCTTGTGCTAATTGGTTGTTGGGGGGCACGTGAATAATCAAGCACAGAATGAAGGTGCAGGATTTGCTTTCTGTGGTACTAATAAATGGACCAACCATTACATTTTGGTGGCTGGCTTATCGTATACTATGAGATTTTATTTATTTTAAATACGTTTTGTACATCTCACTGAGAGTTATGTTCATTATAACTATCACAATATTGAGTCGCAGTAAAATGGACTAGTCCATTGTATGATGGGGAGGGTGGCAGCCGATACCACCATTTTAGGTTTAACATTTTGGTACCTTTTGGGAACATTACAGTACAGAAAAACGTTTATAGTTCCTTAAAAATGATACATAAGTTATTAAAGGGGCACTTGAGATCTTGGGGCAGAGGTATTTACATACGATTGCCTAACAGTAGATCCGCATTGCCCGCGACACACTGCATCACGCACAGACACAAATAGATTAAAGAACAGCAAAAGCGGAAGTAGTTGTAGTATTTTATTGTGGTGGCGTAAAACAGGAAGTTCCGTTGCTGGTGGAGTATTAGCGGCTGTTGGCTGTGAGCCGCATCACAACCTTCGTGGGGGACAGCGGTGTTGTGCGTCACACAGTAAGTGACACTTTGCAGAAATTGTCTTAAAACAACAACCGCTTTACATGAAACCCGTCAGGGGAAAAATCCCACCGTTGTCAGTTTATTCTTTTATTCTAACAACTTTTTGGCAGCGGTGTCATCTGGCACAGCTAATGGTTGCAGTGACGTAGCTAGAAATGCTGGCTCATTGGTTCACAACCGTTAGTTTTAAAATGAAAACAATTCAGAGGAAACCGCGTTTACGTTCCGGTTTTCTGTGGTTCCTTAGAGAAGATATAATTACGATAAGCTGCCGATACTCTCACAGTGCGTTGTTTTTAATCGAAATACAATAAAACAGAAATCAGGCTCACATTTAATCAATTTTCTTTTCATCTGCATTGACAGTTAGCTCACAGGTTTTTCCACATGGGTTTCTGTGTAAATTCGGTGTAAAAATTCTTTTCATTCCGTGTTTCCTCAGATTTCTCGCTGATTAGGGAGAGCAGTGATACCATGTGTAAGTCACATGAACGACGAGGATGAGGCACAAACAACAAGGGGGCAGCTTGTTGAGAGAGCCGCCGCTCACTGTCAGCCGTAGGGAGGGGGTCTACTGCTGCTGCCGTAGAAGCCGCTGCTGCTGAGGCTGAAGGCCCTGCACCGGCAGCCTACCTGTGTGTGTGTCCCCCACCCCACCCTGGACATATGCAATGAACAGCACCACACAGCCCCCTGCCATCAGTGATGGAGATGCGGCAGTCACCTATGTGTTGGTGCCATTTTTCCTCATCACTATAATTGGGATAGCTGTGGCCGTGGTAAGTTTTTTTTTAACACAAGTTGATGTTGACTGTTAGAAGTTGTCTGAATGAAAGGCAATGAAGAGTACGGTGTTGTTGTGACGAATAGGGACTGACGATGGATGTTGATTTTGGTGTAGCATTAGCATTTATATTTCATAAAATCCTAAATTGCATGTGTCAAACTCAGGGCCCGGGGACCAATTGGGGGCCCGCCAAGTCATTTTGCATGGCCCGCGGGTGCTTGAAAAGCATTGAAGAAAGTCCATACAGCAGGGTTTCTTAACCTGATGAATCAATCAATGTTGTTTTAGTAGACAACAATGAACAATATTTGTAACTTGAATAAATAATAATAATAACCAGTTGCCGAACCTTTTATAATAAATTATGGAGTAGTTACATCTATACATTCTTTCATTTACAACTGGCCCTTCAAGGGGAACTGTATTGCAGATGTGGCTATGACACAAATGGACTATAAATGTGGGGAGAAGGAAATGACACTGTCAAAATAGCAGCATGGTTTATAACATCAGGAAATGTGATGAATAATAGTAAAGATGTATTCATTTGGGATAGAAGAAGAAGGTTTTGGGCAAATGTAATATATACAATATATTATTTTTTGTAAACTTATATCTGGTAAAATAGAGAACATTATTTTATAGCGGTTAGCCTCCCTGGCCTTTAAGTGTTTAAATGTTCATTCATTGGCTGTGTGTCTGTGATGTGTCCTTGTTATTACAAGGTGACCTCTTCGTGCTGTATAATTTCCATTGTGTTAACCAGCTCTGACTAAACAACATGATTTAATTAGCCTTTTAATAAAATTAGCAAAGGCACGTGGATGAAAGGCTGAACCAGAGCCATGTGGTTTTAACTTGAATGTTCAGCTAAAAACATGTTTGGACTGATGGCAGCGTCGGTGTTGAATTATCTGCGTGGTTTCACTGTGTCTGACATGATTAAGACCTCATGTTGTCTCAGTATCCGGTCGCTGGAAGCGATGTCGTCAAAGTTGATTGACTTTGAGTGTCCTCTCTGTTTCAGATCCTGTATGTGCGAAGGAAAAGAAGGTGAGGCTCATTTTACACGCTGATTAATCACACAGTGACTCTTGTTGTTTTACCTTTGTGGTCGGCGTCAGTAGTTGCGTGACCATTTCACGCCTCTGTTATCTCAGGATCGACAGACTCCGTCATCAGCTGTTGCCGATTTACTCCTATGACCCCTCAGAGGAGCTCCATGAAGCCGAACAAGAGATTTTGTGGAAAGAGGAGGACACTCGGGTATGATGGGATCAGACAAAGACCATAGATCATGATAGAAACATTTAAACACTCCATGAAAAAAATACTTGTTAACTCTCATAGTATTGGCCTTGACATTGGTGTATTATTCTGCAGCTGGGTAAATTTTGTACACAGTGGACCGTTTACTTTTGATTTCACACTTCAGCAACAGCAGTTCCTCAGTCGTCTGACCTCTTCCCCTTTAACACCATTTGTTTATATATATTTAAATATATATATTTGTTTATATACATATATTTTTTGTGTCCTCAGATTGTACAGAGCTGGGCCAGAAGTTATCAACAACACCGCCCTCTCCTGGCCAGTGACGTCAATGCCTGACAGTGACTCATGGTTATCAGGAGTAAAGCTGGACTTTGAGCTGGAGATCTGTTGCTGCCATTGTCTGTTTCTACTCTTGATTTTTTTTCTTTGGGTACTACTATTTATCACGGTACATTGAAATATTTCAGCCATAGACTGCGTTGTTCTTGCTCAGTTTGTAAACACTTAATCCGTGAGTTTCTGAGGACAATCTTACGTGCGTAATTATTTATTATTTGAACCATGTTTTAGCTTGGTGCTCAGCGACATGGCTCAAAGTGAAGGAGGGTCAGTCGAGGTGTGGGTTTCCACATCAGACATTCACATTTGGGTTGCGCATTTTTTTACTGTTGAAGCACAGATTTACTTCGCTAGTTAAAAATATTACCTCTGCTGTTAAAAAGTTCATCATCACAGCATCAATTGCAGTCATTTACTAGATTATGTTAGCAACAATGACCTTTTTTAAACTCTATAAATGCACTGTAAAGTTTTTCTTCCAAGAACAACTTACGCTTGTACACCTTCAATTGTCAAGCTGGTATCAAATTCTGAAATGAAGACAAATTGTGGGTCAAAGGGCAGAGCGGCGTCTGTTCTGGTTTCAATTTGTCCAGACATCTTGACTCTTCTGCTGTTGAACTACATCCAGTGACTCTTGACAGAGGCATGAAGAGGAAGATATGAAAGTAAATAGCAACATCCTCAACATCATAGATGAGCTGTGACTCTTACCCCAAATATGTCCTGTCCACCAGGCATGGCACCAGGATGAGGTTACGCACAGCCAAAGAATCTGTGGATTAAAAATAAAGAGAAACAAACCAAAGGTCTGACTGTTTCAGTTGAGCAGGAAAAAAAAACATAAATCAGAAGCTTTTAGCTTGTGAAGACTGTTGGTACTGGAAAGAAGGACCTCTGCTGGATCTAAGAAGGAAGAAGTTGCAGGAAAGAAGAATTTGTGAGGATGCAACAAAAGTCCAATCGTTTTCACATCAATACAGACTTAAAGGGATGTCAATTGAGAAATCAAGTGCCACAGTGGGACTGACTGGAAGGTCCCGTTTCCTTAACGACTTAATTTTGCGCACCACCAGTCCACCAAGCCGACGTATCGGTCATTATTAAAAGCACCGATAACGGGATTTCAATGTGCATGCAAAACTAACAAAATTACACGAGTCTTGTTTACCCATCACTCAGGAACATTTCCCCCAATCAGAGACGTTGCTTCCATTTTCTTTTAAACTTAAAATGTACCAAATATGGGAATATAACGGGAGTGGGATACCCATCAGTCATACAGAATAGCAATTGTAAATAAAATGACCATTGATGAGGCTCAATTTGTTCTTGAGGAGTTAACATTAACAAGTTGATGCTATGAATAAACAAATAAAAATGACAAAGAATTCTCTTTATTGACCTTTTTTGATACAAATTGTAGGGCACCATAGAAATATAGACATTGTACATTTATATACGGTGTACATTAAAAAGAATGATCCCATCCTGTCGAGGTGACTGTATATAAATGCGCAGATGAATGTGGATCTGTAGCATGACACTGGTATCGAGGACTATTCAGAGGGTGCAGAGAAAAGTAGAGTATGAAGAAGACGACTGAAGTGCCACGACGCAACATACCCAACGGTAGGGTGAACTGAAGAGGAGCGCCCCGTCGATCAAACATTTGTCCATGAAAACAGAACCAACATTTCATTTCAGTGCACCAGAAGTTTTAAGAGGATAAAAACACAACCTGCTAGTCTACCACAATCAGTGAACACAGATGTCAAGCTGACAGGTCTCCCTGACGTCACACATACACACTCAAACAAACAAACAAAAAAAAAACTGTCTGCACAAGCGAAAATGTGTTTGCATACGCACACCATCACCAACTTCACATCCAAAACACCTTATTACAGTCTGGAAGTCAGAAACTTTGTAAAGAAAAAACCAACAAAAAAAAAAAATCCATCCCATGCCAGAGATTACAGTTAACAAAACCAGTTATAAGCAAATAAATGGTTAAGTAAGCTGTTGAGTGAGGTATGAAATTCCAGGCCTTGTATCGCCTGTTTTGCAGTTTTCCGGGTTTTGTAACTGAGGTTGTAGCAGCTTGATGTGTGGAGAGAAAAACCCAGTTAAGTGGACTGTGGTTCCCTGACACTAAGAAATACAAACATGTTCTTTCCTGCAGCAGACATCATACAACACCAGACCAAAAAGACTAAGAAGTGTAATCACGGCACTAATTCATGAGGAGAAGATGACCAAGCTAGGTGGAGTGGAGAAGGCTAGCGAGAATGAAAACATACAGCCCTGTAGGTAAAGCAGTGCCGGCAGCGATCCTGCGTCCTGTGAACAGCAGTCTGCCTGCAGTTGATTGAGTGAGCGCTTGGAATCTGGGGACCGTGTGGAGACAAAGACACTTAATGTAACAGCATTTGTAAAAGCTCCCTGAAGAATCACTGATGCTCTCAGCCTACAACTCTTTAAAATAGGGTTGGCAAACACACACCAAAAACAGAGTTTAGTTTTATTATAAAATGAAAAGCAGCACACAACTGGGAGAACATTTGTTGTTTTTTTTTCGTTTGTTTTTCTTTTCTTTTTTTTTTTAAATGATATGCAACCCTACGAAAAACACTAAGTCTGTTCAGACTATTCTGATACTACTGACACGCCTACTCCCCCCCCCACTACACACCGAGGACTGTGAAGGACGTTTTGAGAAGTATACGAAATCTAAACGGTCGTAAGAGGAAGGTCGGAGTTATTTCTCTGCTCTACTGCTGAGACCTGGTAAAAGATTGAACGTGGGTTAAAAATGAGAAGGAGGGAAAATTAAAAAAAATTTAAAAAGTTTCACCAACAGTTACCTAGTCTCATTCTAACCGCTGAAGCTCGACTCCATCAAGACTTGATGCAAAGTTTAACCACATTACAGGAGAACACGCACACGCACACACACACACAAAAAAGGTTTAGGTAAAATTCACCTTTGTCCAGTACAAAACATGGAGGAATAATCTATATGCCCTACCATCGATGAATAAGTAACATTAAGCAGAGGAGGATCGTCCTACAAACCATCTGAAGGAGAGAAACAAACATCCAGGCGTGCTGAAGCAACACCTTTGTCCAGTATAAAAGACTTGTTACCTGTCGTGTATTTCTTAGATCTAAACTTGAACAAAGGTCCATCGGTCTAATCCAGTGCTGTTGCATGTTATATGTACTGTTGCCCACCCCTCTTTTTGGCCAAAGGGGTGGACCTTTGTCATGAACAGTGGTCACGTGGTGGCACTGGTGTTGGAGATACAGCCCAGTTCTAGTTAACAGTAAGTCAGTATGTTGAGTGAGGTAGCATGCGTTGTCAATTACTGGTCCTCGTCTTCCTCCTCCGCAGATGACTCTTGGGATGTTTTTTCTTCCTTCTCCTGCTGGGGGATTCAAAAAGAACCAGTCACTTCCTCATCCTCTATTGACAAACATTCTTGGTGACTCATGACTGAACATGACTAACTGTTGTTTTTTGTTTTTTTTTTCCCCCTCTCTCCCAAGTGTAACAAAAATGCAAAGTGTACTACTGTGGCATGGACACCACCCAGAGGAAGGGCGAGGCCAACGTAGTGATTCATACGCGTGTGAGTCGCAGTGAGGCATCTCGCATTTTCCCCCCTTCCTCTGCTGCCAAAAGTAGTTCATTCATAAAAATGGAGGGTAAGTTGCAGGGGTAACTCTGGGTCATTTCATCCTGTGACTAATACACTCCCAGGTTTCTTTATAAAGACATGACTTCTACTACTTCGGCACAAATTTGTTCCTACAAGACCACAGAAACTGCCCCCATACTACAGACTGACACCGTAACTGAGGTTCATTCAACAACTTCCAATCCAAAGGAGTGTGAATCACACATACTTTTTTCCTCTAGTCAAAACAACGGGCCACTAGTGATGTACTGGTTTATGTGACTGCATGGAAGTGATGCTGCCCTTTACTTGTATTTTCTCTGTTTCCTTACATCAGCAACTGTTTGTATAGTTGACAGGTTTCCACAGCTAAAGTCAACAAGTACGCAGTGTATTTTTTTTTCATCTCATTTAACAACTGTTATTGTCATTTACAGCTTGTTTCAGTGTTTTTTTTTTTTAAACACAAAGCTGTGGGATCTGTGTTAACTTTTTTTTTTAAATGTGGCTTTTTGTTATTACATGCAACTTGTTGAATAGTGTGTGAAAATAAAGCGCCCGCAAATACAAGCGTAGCTGCGGTGATTAGCGTCGAGTAGGGTGGTAGAAATGACAAATATGCAGCATTACCCTGCAGCCAGTCATACCGATCATAATTCAATTGGGAGAGGAACACTTCGACACTGTACTGTGACACATACCTCCTTCTTAGGTCTTCCTCTGCGTTTCCCTCCTGCAGATGGGGCTGCCGAGGCCTTCTGTGAAAGCAGAGAGAGAGAGAGTGTCAGCGGCTGTATCTCCAGTCAGACTGTGACCGGCATGGCTCAAAAGTTGTAATATATCATTTTAAAACAAGGGAAAGCAGTGTTCCTCTGGCCGCCTGCAGGTGGCAGCATTGCCTGCGCAATGAGACAGAGGGAAAAGGGGGCACTGAGTTCATTGGCTATTATCTGGAAGGCCAACAGGAACTGCACACAGGGCACTCCAGTTCGCTGGCCACCTGGTCTGAGGCTCGGAGACAGCTGGTGGAGCCGAGCAGAAAGACACAAATCCTCCGCAGCACGTCCCTCACTCCTACAACTACATCATACATGCTCGTGCACATGCTTTCACCCTGCACTGGCTGCCTTTCCCATACATAGCTGTGAAGGCTAGAGCGCACAGAAGTGGTGGTGGTGGTGGGAAGGGGGGATACTGGAGGGCTGGGACGAAAGAGAAAAATCAGCTGTTGCTATGGAGACGACAGGCAGAGAAGAACTGGGACTGTGTGGTTGGTGGGGGGAGGAGGGAGGGAAGGAGGGAGGGGTGTGTGTATGTGAGGGGGGGGCGCTCAGTGTCAGCTTGGAAACTGTCTTGAGGCCTCTGCACCTGCACCGCACTGTGCATGACAAGCTGCGGGAAGCTGGAGGACAGGAAGTACAGACTGAGCATCACTCTGACAAAGTCAGGCATTGAACCAAGGTCCTTACAATGGGGGAAACCCTGGACGGGCTATTTCTGAAAACAGCAGCGGGAAGCTGCAACTGATGAGTGTTGGGGATGGGGGGGGCATCCTCTACATTACTAATAAAATAAAACAAACCACGGAATTGCGAAGCATCTGGGAAGAAGAGGACGGAGTTGTGCGAGTGTTCGGTGTTGGTTCTTTTACCTTGCCCTTGCTGGCTGTCTTGTTCTTGCTCCCCTTCGGTCTTCCTCTGGGTCTCTTTGGGGTGGGGGACCCGCTCGGCTCCTGCTGTTTAAACGAGACGTTCAAACTTGACGTTAGATTGCAACATGTAGGACACCAATCTCACTTCCCTCTTTGTACACGTATGGTGGTGCAACATCTGACTTCCTGCGACCGCAGCAGCGCTGTAGTAGAACACGGCGTGGGACGTCAGCATGTGGAGGATTTACTAGAGAACACATGGCCGACTCCGGTGTGACACTGTAACCCATTCATACGATGACATGTGGCGGCTGTAAGGCCACGATCGCCCGTCTCCGCTTACATTTCTGAGTTTGTACGCCGCCGCCGCACATAGCAACCTGGCAATTCAATCCTATAAGACGAGCCGCTGAGTGACGGCTATATGAGCCAGTCTGCTGTGAATCATCCGTTACATGACAAGCAGATGTATGTCCTGCACACAGGGACCCAGAGCAAGGGTGGGGTGGGGTGGTGGGGGGTTAAAACCGGTTTAAAGGGTGTTCAGTTACAGGTTTCTGATGAACCTGTAAGTTGCACAGGAAGTTGTAGATGTCTGCACTGCAGCACAGATAAGGCTGAGCGCTCGGTCACGGGGCTTGGCTGCGGGTCTTGATTTCATGACAGGAGCCGTAAATATCCAGCTCAGCTCCTCGTGGCGCTTCCTTATAATAGGTGGTGGACATTGTCCTGGACTGTGGACGGGGAGGAGGGGTGTGTAGAAAACTATGTTTACAATACAGGGGGTACTGGGGGGGGGGCAGATGAATGTGGGTCTGCTGTAGTAAATGTTCTGCATCTCATGTTTACCATTTGCAGTAGTTCAAATATATCTGTAAGGTGTAGCCAATGTTTGGATATAAATACCGGGGCACTGAGGCCAATGACTCAATTACATTCACTCATAACTCAGACAACAGTGACGTCATTGACCTCCAACATGCACGACATATTTTGATCAGCCTTGCACATAAGTCGGCATCTCCAGCGCTGACACACCTTGTTATGAACAGCTACGCCACATTCACGTCAAGGTCTCTCATACCTGGGGTGTCTTGCGGGGTCTACCACGCCCCCTCTTCTCTGCTGCGTCCTTCTCTTTCGGTGAAACTGTCCCCTTGTCGCTCATGTTTGCTTCTCAGACCTGCAGGAAATAAATCACACCGCTCAGATTCCTGTTGCAAGCAGAGGCGTCGAGTTCATTCACACAAACAGGCGGAGAGGAAGAAAACAGAGGAGGGGAAAAAAAACCTCATATCAAACCTGCTGACCCCGGCGACAAACCAGAAATGACCGGACTAACCTACCACGCACCGGCCGCGCCACATAAACGCGATTAATCCGCGCGTCCTTGTCACCGATTTATCGCCGTCTCATCTGCGCCTACAATTGTTGCGGGTGTCGCGCAACTGTGCGACAAGAGTCCGAGATGCCTTCAGGGACCCACCGTGTTGTCGATCCGGGCCTCGCTCGCTCGATTTGCGACCAAATATCAGGCCTGTGCTCGGAAGTATCTCACAGCATGTCTGCTGCACTCCTCTGGCGTGCACGCGCACACACATACATACATACTCGTGCACGCGTATACACATACACAATGGCTGTTGTGTGCTCGGCGGGATTTGCAGGCTCAAATCCTTCGCCGGGGATTTTTTTTAGTCAAATCAAAAGACGAAGAAGAAGAAGAGGCTGCGGCGGTGACGGGAGAAAATAAAACCCCCGGACCGAGGGCAGCATTCGACGGCTGCATGTTTACACCGTGCACCCTGATATTTCTCAATTCCTAGTGGCTCGGTACGAACCGACAAATGTATCTGAAAGTAACGGGTTTGCCGAGCGTGCAGTTATCCCCAGCCCTCCACCATCACCGTCCTGCTACTCACCCTTTGAATCCGCGACGTAAATATTTCAGAGGTCGCGACGTTCGCTCGTGGCTGCTCGTCCGCGGCTCAGGAGCCCCACACTGATCTATAGGCTACGGTTTTATTCGTCAGCCCGCCCCTTTAAAATCCCAGCTCTGCAGCGTTTTAAAAACAACTTACCATCTAGGAAAGAGGAGACGAGCTAGGAAGCACGGAAAGGTCTCGACTTACCGGCAGGTTGAGCGCTTTAGTCCAACAGCGTCTTATTAACGGCACGTGCGTCTGGTCTATTCCGTTAATAAAGGGGGAAAAAGGCGCCAACCAGAAGGAGTTTTGGGGCAATTTAAAGAGCCGCCCTCATGGGAGCTGAAAACTGGAGGGAGGAGTTATGATAAATGGGCCACCAAGAGGAGGAGAGGAGCCCAACCCCCTCCTCCACCTCCTCCTCTCTGTTCCCCTGGTTTGATCCCAAAAAACACGGAGAAAAGTTGGAGAACATGCCTCCTGCAAAAATAAACAAATAAATAAAGAAATATATCTATGTGTAGTAACATCAATATACAAGGTGGGAGGAAGACCATATTTGGTCAAAGGAAACAATGCTGTGGGCAGAATATAAATACACGAAATACCACGAATACCTTTCTGAAAGTTATATCCATAAAAGTATTTTTCAAATTAAAATTAATATTTTTTTCTTAAATTACAGAGAATAAAACCGTAAAAAGTTACAAATGGCGATATGAATATTAACAATGTTGGAAAAAGTTGTTTTTTATTTTAAAGTATTGAGTATTTTTACAAGTATTTTCTAAAAATAATCTATGCAATATGTTTTATTCAATACTTTTTAAGGATTTATATGTATTTATGGCGCTATTACATGTTTTATAATAATGTAATAATATAATCATATATTGTATATGTGTACATATACAATATATCAAGTAAGAAAAACTCCAAAAAGACATTTTACACATTATAAATACTGTAATATTGCTGTGTTTTTATTACATTATTCTGACAATCTAGAAATTTACTTCAACTTTTAAAGCTGCTTTTTCACATTAAAAATATTTTAATAAATACTCAGGATTATCCCTTCTACAATTCTTTAAATACTGTTGTATCAACAACTACACATACTACTACTTTTTATTTATACTTATATGAGACACTTTTCGTGTTTTAATTATCTGTATTTTTCCGTGTTAGTGTTGAATATCCACAGTTTGAGGAGAGAAGTTTTTTTTTTACTGTAGTTTTACACGTGCATAAACGCTTCAGTCCTGAATTTAATCAGTTCATCCAGATCATTTTATCAACTGCTCCTTGTTTTTTTCTTCTTAATAATTTAATTTTCTTATTTTCATTTAGCACACATCCATACATGTTTTTGTTTTTCTAATTCTGGGTTAATAGTGTTTTGATATATATTCATTCAGAGTCATATTTTCTTCATTTGTTTTTTTTTTTAACAGCTCTTATTTTTCTTTTCCGTTGAACATAATTATGCATTTTGCATTTTGAGTTTAACAAGTCGCTGCAAATCAGTTTTTTTTTTAATCACAAAAACAATTTCTATCTATTTTTCTTACCAGAAGAGAAAGGTTTGAGAGTTCAGGTTTTAAGAATATTTTTTAGGTTCAAGGCATCCTTTAAAAAAAAAAAGTTAATTAGTTTGCAGTAACTGACTCATAAAAACACTGTGATAAAATCTCTATTCAGTACCTTCTCAAAAAGTTTTCATGGCTGTTTAACATCTGAGACCCCTGCAGGATGGAAACAGTACTGGGATTTTTTATTTTTTTATTTTCAATAATTCCATCAGTTTTAGGCTGATCCAGGTTCTGTGATTCCACTGACCTCCACTGACCCCACACTAACTGTATGTTTCAGCAGTTCAGTCTGGTCATCACTAACTAATGTGATTATCTGCACTCAGACGTCGGACTCAACATCAGACCAACGTTTCATTTCTGTCCTGTGGCTGTGGTGCACGCGGGGGAGGAAAGGTGAGGGGAGTCGTAGGTGTAGGGAGAGTGTAAATCAAACACCACCCACTGCTGCATTCACACCATTCACACCTGGTTTTCTGATGTAAATACAGCCGATGATTCTGGAGCTCCACGGCCACGCATGTGAAAACACACACACACACACACACACACACACTGATTTACTTTGTTATCACAGCACATAAACCCCTTTGTCAAGTGCAGTATAGTACTCAGTATACTCTGAGCGTGTACTGCGTGTACTGTACGTACACGGTGAGGTCTGGTGAACAGGGCGACGGAGGAGGACATGAATGAAGGGAGCGCTTTACTCAATGAGTCCAATGTACTGCTCAGCATGTGCTTGCCTTGCATGCCCCCTC